ACACAAAGAGCGGAAAGTTCATACTAGGTTGTAAGAGAATTCGAAAAGGGTTTGAAAACACACTGCTGATGTCCTAGCGACCATGCAGGTCGATGTCGACCCCAAGATCTTGCATATGCAAAACGCGGGGAAGCAGGGAGCCAACGACATCTGTATGTTAGTCTTATATGGGTGGCAGACAGGCGCATCAGAGATGGCTGTGCAGACTGAGGGATTATAGGCTATTGAGCCAGCTGCTGATGACGTTCTCTCAGCGTGAATAGGATTTACATGTTGCGCTCCAAGCCTCAAAAGACAATTGCAACGGATTAATGTTCGGTAGACCCATGGAAGTGTCTGGTGGAAGCCAGCCATTCGAGACCCAGAGGTTTTTGGCAGCGTAATGAAGTGTGCACGAGCCGACATTTAGCCCGCGTGACTTCCACCGTGGTATTAGGAAGAGGGAAACACCAAGTGTGGGATCCACTGGGCGGAGATTGCAGGGCTGGGATACATACTCTACACTGACTCGAGGTATAGCAGGTGGGAACATGAAGCTCATCCATATCCAACTAGCTGTAGAGCTTAAAGCTACTTTAAAGCTTCTAGAGTATTCTCAGCTGGCATGACCGTGCACTGTTTCACCATCGTGTCAAGTAACAAGATGATAGAATGGATAGAAAATAGGGTATGACAACTCGACACGAGGCATTGTGACTTCCTGATTGGCCTCGAGAGCTGCAATCACGTGGAAGCCACGTGGACTCGGTCGCAACTCGAAAAGGAGGACAACAAAGGCAATTTCATCTCAGAAGTCTCCTTTGCATCTTAGCTTTATGAATGCCATATAGCACGCACTCAGGCGTTGAAGGCATCTGAGCGACCGTGATCCACGATGTCCCCGAATTCCCCGATCGCCTGTTTAGGTAGATCCCGAGTCCCGGGAGAAGCTGCTCCTCAATCAATCACAATCACTCCATGACCAAAGCGTCTCCCATCTCCGGCCCTGGATCGACGGACGCGTCGGCACTTCTTTTTGCTTGGAGGTGTCTGGTACAATTGTCCAATGAATTCCAGTCGCATTATCTGGCACTCCCGAAAACCCTTCCAAATAGGGGCTAGACGCCGTTCCCACTTTTCTGGCAACTGGTCCAGGTCCGGACTACAAAGTACGAAACTGCCACGACCAGCTCCGTTAAGGAGTTCCTCCGTGGTGAGTGACCCCTGCTACCTTAATTTTCTTTTATTATGCTTATTAAAACTTCTCCTTAGCTGCCTAATTGCCAGCGGCCGCAGTGAAAACAAAAATCATAATATCAGGCCACCGCTTAGGCCACGTGCGGACGATGGAGCTTCGCTGATAAGCCCTGCACGGTTGGGGCCAAGATGAAATCCTCGAATGCTGACGCTCAGATCGATTTGCTTCTGTTGGCTTCACTGATGCATGAGACAACTTGAAAGCCTCGCATCTGCGCCATAAGGACTGAACCTTGTCCCCGTTTCTCCATCATGCGAACCCCCGATGGTCGGGGCGCAGTCCATCCAAACAGCTAATATCCGACAACTACCTAGCGCGGTTCAAAAAATTAGCTTGATTAAACCAAATTGCGCCTCGATTGCAAGGCACTCAAGGTCTGACAGGCCGGGTGGAGATGGCCGCCAATGCGCCCCCACTTACCCTCAAGCGTGGCCGGGAGAAACCCGGTGATCCTGTTTGCGACGCTAGCTAGTCACTGTAGCCGTGCTGAATTCTAGAATCCACGCTGTGCTGATGGAAGGATGGAAACCAGCCCCCAGAGTCACGGTTGGATTACATCACTAGCCAGCGTTAGGGTCTACAGCCACGATCCTCACATTGGCTGCTCACAATTTTCATTAACTGCCCGCTCCTGGCCCCTAAATCATGGATAGATGAAAAACCCGATGGGCCCCGGAGCCAATTCGTCGTCTATTATAGGAATTGTTTCTCCCACGATGCCCCTGCGTGTACCAAATTTTCTGTAAATTCACAGATATGTCCAGTCCCTTTGGTGAGCCGCCCAAGGGCCTCAATCTCGAGGAGGACAGCACGGGAAGAAATGACGCCGTCGTCGTCTGCATGTATGCCCTGGCCTTTGTGACCATTGGCTTTCGGTTATTTTCCCGGATAAAGGTCCAGCAGGCCAGCATAGGGCTCGATGACTGGCTGATAGTAGGGGCACTGGTATGTTGTTCACTTTCCTGTGAGAACTATTGTTCTAATTATACTACAGTTATCGGGTACAGCCAACATGGCCTGTGCAATAGCCGGTATGCAATCAACCACCCTACCCAACCATTTAACATGCTAACCTTCTCCTTAGGAGGACACTATGGCCTTGGTAAACATGTTTGGGTAGTCACTCTAGATGAAATTATCAACATGGTGCATGTAAGATACCCTTGGTCCCTTTTCTCGAGGAATGTCGAACTCACATCAATGCTTTAGATACTATACGCCAACGTGCTCCTTTATATCCTCACCGTTCCCCTCATCAAAGTCTCCATCATACTCTCATATCGCCGACTCTTTGGTATGCAGTGGACCATGTGGGCTTGCATCGCCCTGTCCATTGCCTACTGGATAGGCTGCTCAGTCGCCTTTCTATGCTCCTGCCAACCAGTCTCATATTTCTGGACACAATACGAAAACCCCCTCGGCGGCTACGTCCGTTATGATATTTACCCATTCTACATTGCTCATGCCGTCGCCAACATGGCCGGCGACCTTCTCATCCTTCTCGTTCCGATCCCGCTAGTCTGGCGTTTGAAGTTACGAGTGGGGCAGAAGATCCAAATCCTAAGCATCTTCCTTCTCGGTGGCTTGTAAGTCAACTACAACCCATCCCCGCCCTTCCCCCAGTTAACCTCAACTAATAAGTAACCAACAACAGTGTCTGTGTCGCCAGCGCCATCCGCATCTACTACTTCACCTTCATCAACGACGTCGACGTGACCTGGAACCTGGGCAACGTTTTCATCTGGTCCAGTGTTGAACCATCCATCGGAATCGTCTGTGCCTGCCTCCCCGTCCTCCAACCCCTTTTCCGAACGATCATCAACCGCCGGAGCATGCCAAACCGACCCACCACAAAAGGCGTCCGCTTCGCACCCGATATCATGAGCAAGATCCACGGCGACGATCGGAAACAGACACGAGAAGATGAAGCCGTTTTAACAACAACGTCAGTACATATCGAAATGGACGGTGTAGGCAAGGGGAGAGTCAGCGATGAAGAAGAAGCCATGGGGTACGATATAATGTCTATCAAGGTGCAGAAAGACTTTCAAATGGAGGAAGAGCATCGTTGATAACTTTTTTTATGGTGTTATGTTGCGGGTGTTTATCGGGCATCTTTTATTTTTTGTTTTGATCGATCGTTTAGCGTATAGGTGGGGTTCTTTTCAAGCTTGTACATACATAGACTTACTTACCTCAAGGTACATACCCCTCCCTACAGGAGAAATAATCAGATAATCTCCACAAAGACACGAAGCTGTGTTGCAGGTTGTAGTTAAAGTAGAAAGTAGAGAGATTTATTTTGGAAATTTACATTGACTGCTGATGCTTGATTTAAGGATTTTCTGACTAGTATTTTGAGCCGAGCTGGCTGGATTGTGTCTAGGGAAAATGCTTTCAAACTCAGTGTTTAGGTTTCATTGTAAACCTTGGTGGCTGCTTCCGAACTAGTGACACTAGTCTTCTGACTAGTTCGAATACTAAAAATATTACATTTGGCCAACATCCAATCTGAGTGAAATGGAGTGGACTCTTGAGGAAATTTTGAAAATTTCGTCAAAATGTGAGAATGGGCCGAGGCAGTGGTAGATGTATATAAACCGGTGCGAAGCGGTCACCATTTGTATACTATCCGCTGTACTTAGTAGTCCACTGTATACTTATCTTTAAAGAAGAATATATATCTGAAAGAATAAGGAATTTAATTTTCTGTGAGATCTAGACTAAACTTAAGAATATTCTAGTCCTGTAAGCTGTATTTTTTCCAGTATTTATTAAGAAAAGATATATAGTACAAGAGATAGTACTTGTAGTTATACTTAGTATCAACTTTATCGGGGTAGAGGATGGTAACAGTATAGGTTATTGTGTTATAGCTGCTGGCTATAATTTGAATAAAATTACAGTTTTAAAGGGGTTATCACAGAGAGTTGGTTGAGGAATAGTACTTACGGATTACAAAGGAGGGCTTCCTTATAAAGAAATAGGCTTCTCATTGTGAGATGGTTTAACTTGTAATCACTGATCTCAGAATGATCAGTTCACACTTTCTGAATCAGTGTTCCTAACTAGTAATCCCGTAAAGTTTACACCGAGGGAAGCTTGTGAAGTGGCATATCCAGAGCCTAACAAGCTTTCCTCTTTCTCGGTTCCGCAGTCATTACTAAGAAGTGCTATTTCTCTGCAAAGTATTAAGCAGCCCTAGTCCGTGTCCCAATTTATCCACTGATTTGAGGTCTAGCAGGATATACTAAATCCAGTTTCGATAGGTTAAGCAACGGTTCACGTTGTGATGTTCTATCCCGCAATTGTGGCAATGACCCTACATCGAGATGTGAGCGCTTGATATACATATTGTATGCTAATGCAGAACCTACATAGCTAGTGTCTAGGTTATTAAAGCCAGTGACTCCCGTCCGCGTATGTTGCCATGATTTCATGGGTGACGATGGATCACGGGGGTTTTCCAGATGGGCAGCATTTAGATCTTGGGCACAGAAGATAACATTTCGAATTATAGAACTCAAGGGTAGCTACAATGGAGGAAAAAGATACTCCGAAGATTATGCAGGAACCTCAAATATGCAATGCAGATCCAGTATTGTCCTAGTACTGCCAACCGATCAAGTTACCAGTGGACAATAGCTGTCTTCGTACCTTGTGCGACTAACCGCCAGGCTGCACCCAAGAACTCAATGAAAGAAAAGAAATGAAAGAAGGCAGCCTCTTGATGTTTGCAATGAGATGGACTGTCCTCCGAGGTCTAACGAAGGTTCGCCCGGAAGAATTGGGTGAGCTTATCCCAAGGAATGATCTCCACACGATCATAGAGGTCGACGTGACCGGCACCTGGCACCCAGTACAGCTCCTTGGGTTCCTTTGCCTGTGCGTAAGCGTTCTCGCTGAACTCCCGCGAATGTGCCTGGTCGCCTGAAATGAATAGAAGAGGGCGAGGCGAGATCGAATCAATATCATTGAACGGGTAGAAGTTCATGAATTTCGGGTTACTGGTAGTTGTCCGCTGAGTCTCCAGCCACCACTTGGTTCCTGGGGGAATGAACTCGCCACGCCGGGTGAAGTAGAAGTCGTAAAATTCGCGATCAACAGCGCTGGTGTTGGCTGTGAGGTGACTGGGGACACCGCCAGAATACTGGGTTGGGCCCCCTTCCGCCTCGACCCAGCGCTCCTGGGCGGCCGCGGCAATGATAGCTTTGCGCTGGGCCAGGGTCTGGGACTTGTGTAGCAAAAATGTTGAGGAGCGCTCTACGGAAGCAACGAAACAAACAAACAAACAAAAAATGGAAGTAAAAGAGTGAGTTAAATTAAGCTATCTAGGAGAGCAAAACAAAGTAACACATAAAAATACTTTATATAGGAGATCTGAATACAGTATATAACTAATCTATATAGATATCTTAATACAGCCTCCTAGACAAAAAAACATACAGAAAAATACTAAATAAAACCATAAATATTTTCTAGATAGATAATCTTTTATATATTAAATATTATTTCCTAGATACTACGTAAGCATAGTTAACAGAATTATTCTTAAAAAAATCTAAAAATTATAGAACTTCTTCTAATCTAATACTTTAATAAAATTATTTATAGGATTACAAGTACCTGCAATATATTAGACTAATATAATATTTATTTTAATAAAATTTATTATAAATAAGTAATAGTTATCTAACTACTTAATAAATTATATATAAATATTATAATTAAAAATTTATAGCAAATTAATAGTATTACTAAATAAAAGTATCTTATTATTATCTAATATTTTAAAATTAAATATTTATATTAATTTTTTAATATACAGAGTATCTTTAATAGTAGTATTATATATATAATATTCTATAATAGTAAAAAAAAATATAATAATATTTTATTTATTAAATAACCAGATAATAAAATTACTTATATAAAATATAATTTATTCTTTTATTAATTTATTATTCTTATAATCAGTATAAGCAGTATTTATATAAACTTTAATTTTTTTAATATAATCAGCTGCCAGAATAATCCCATAAAAAATAATATTATATAAATATTTATATATATTTTTTAATATTTTTATATCTATTATAATAAAAATATATATATATTTTTATAAGCAGAATATAACAAAACATAAATCAGATTTTATTTTAGTAATTAACTAGTTTAATCTACTTATAAAACTTTAATATTTATTAATATTAATTTTTTTAATTAATATCTCAGTATAATCTATCTTTATATAAATAAATATTATAAAAATAATAATATCTAAGCAGGATTATATTTTAATAATAATAAAATATTTTTCTATTTAAATAAACTGCCCGAGTAAAATATTATTTATTTTATAATTATAAAAAATATTATAATTAAACAGAATCTTCAGTTTATCTAACTCTTTAAATCTAAATATTTTATTTAAATAATATTTTATTAAAATCAGATCTACCTGCTCAAAACCAGTAATAATAAAATTATTTATATAAATAATAAGTTATATATTATTATTTCTATATATATACAGATTCTCCAGTAAAGATTTAAAGCTGACTTTCTGTAACTTTTTATTAAAAATATAATATTAAAAATATACTACTTACTGTAGTCTATAAAATACTATTTTAAATAAATATATATATTCAGGAGTACTCTTATAAAATCTAATTAATTATTTTATATAAACCTACTTATCTTTTATTTATATATATAAATAAACAGAAATAATATTATATTACTTCTAGTAAAAATTTTTTAGTATTATATTAATTATAAATATTTTAAAAATAATCTCACTTGCCACTAGAGCAAAGAATTTAATATAATTAATATTAAATATTTAATAATTACTATAAACTATCTAATAAATATAAAATTATATAATAATATTCTCTATATTAATCTTTAGATTAAATATTTATTTATTTAAAATTATATAAATATTAGCAGGTCAGTCAACCATCTTATAAATATTTATTAATTTAATTTTATTAATTTATATAATTATAACTTTCTTTCAGTATAAAATAAGTAGAGATAAGATAGCTTCTATATAAATATTTAATATATTAATCTTATATTACTTAAGAATAAATAAAAAAGATAGATTAGATTCTTATTTTAATATAATTATCTATTTATTTCTTAATTATAAAGAACTCTTTCTTTTAATAATTTATTAGAATTATCTCAGTATAGTAACTATAATAATAGAAGATTCAGATTTAATAAATCAGAAATCTTATTTTATATATTTAATAAATAATATTTTATAATTATAAAAATTTTTTATTAAATAAATTAGATCAGTAAGCACAGACAAAACAGGAAAAATAAATTTAATTAATATAAATATAATTTTTATTTTTTTATATATAAAATTAGTATTATTATTCTATACAAGAAGAGTCTTATTATAATCAGTTATATTCTATATATTATATATAATTATTTTATTAAAATTAATTCTGATATTCTATATTAATATAATTAAATTCTTAGAAATAAATATAAATACAGTAGTTATATTACCAGGATCTTTATAATTATTTTTATATATATATTCTTTATAAAATATTATATCTCTTAAATATTTAATCTTATTTAAATCAGGATACTATACTAGATATATATAATTATTATTTTTATTAAATTTAATAAAGTAACCAGTATCAGCGCGGGAACTTATTTTTTTAAAAATAATATAATTCTTTATAAATATATATTAATAATAATAGCATTTAAATATACATAAAAACTTAAGTAAGATATTAGAATTCAGGAGATTATAAAATAACTTATATAAATAAATAAATATTTATTTAATCTTACTTCCTGCAGGAATTAGATAATTAAAAATCTATATAATAAATTTTATAATAAATAATTAAAATATTATAGACAGATCTAAATTAAATATTATAATTTTATTTATTTAGTTAAATAAATTATTATAATACTTAGTAAATCTGTTAGCTTCAGGTATTTAAAAAGATAATATAATAATATAAATTTTTTAATTTTTATAATATATCTATTTCTTAAATCTATTAAACTTATAATCCCTATTAAAATATTATAAAATAATATATTTATTAACTATATTCTTATATTTATTATTTATTTAAATTAGTTTTATAAAAATATTATCTTTCTGCTTTAATATAATTATTCTAACTAATTAAATAGTATTATTTATTATTACTAGAAAATATTTAAATTCTTTATAACTAACCAGGGTCATCTGCTGTATATTTATATATTAAAATTATATAAAATCAGAAATCTTTAAAATAGAATCTTTTAATACTAAATACTTTGTTTTCTCTAGTAAATATATATTATAATAAAAATTCTTATAATATTTAAGTTTAATTTACTAATTCTTTATAATAGAAATAATCTTATAAAATTTTATATATTTATATTACCTATGTAACAGCAGGAAGTTAATTATAATAAAAATTAATTTTATATTTTAAATATATATAAAAAATATATTTTTATTTATTTATAAATATTCTACTATTTTATCATTCTTCTTTTTATATAAAATCAGATTCTTAATATTTATATATATTTTAAAGTTCTTTTATAAGAAATCCACAGAGAGAAGACTGTAAATAAAATCTAATTAATAAAATATTTTAATCTAAATCTTAAGATATTTATTATTTATAAATAAAAATAAAATCTAATAATTAATTAATTTAATAATATTAATTCCTCCATCAGAGATACCATATTTATAGAAATTAAAAATATTTAAATTATAATAATAATTTAATAAAATATAATCAAGTATAAAATATTAAAAGCTGTCTATATTATAAATCTAATATAATAAATAATTAATAGTACTTCCAACTACTATTCTAGAGAAATTTAAAATATTTAAATTTTTATTATCTAATTTTATTTTATATAAAATAATATATTAAGCAAATATTTCTATAATTTATTTTATTAATATTACTACTTCTTTAAAATTACTAGTATTTAAATTTAAATCTAATTTTTCTTTTTTATATTAATTATACTTTCTCCTGAAGAATCAGATATCTAGAATATATAATTTCTATTACTTTAAATATAAAATTATATTAATATATTAATACTTTATTCAGCTGTGACCAGCATATCTGTAATAATTATAAATTTTATTAATATATTTAAAGATTATTTCTTTTATTTTAATAACATACTCTTTATAAAAAATATTTTTTATAAAATATATAATCTTTTTCTACTTTTCCTTAGTAATAGATAGCTTACTAAATAAGTCTTAATTTTTTTTTATAATAATTATTATTTTTATCTTATTAAATTTATTATATTATTTCTTTGTATTTCTATAAATAATATAAAAATTATTATTATTATAAATTATATTTAAATTTTCTGATATCCTGCCCTCTACTAAAATAATTTATATAAATATATTAATTTTTATCTTTTATAAAAATATAAATATTATTATAAAAGCTGATATTCTATATTATAGAATCTTATTAAAAACAAAGTTAAATCAGAAGTCTTTAATAAATTTAATTACTGTAGTATATAAAAATTACTTTATATTAAAGAAATTATATATAATATTTTAATATAATATAATATTATATCTGAGAACAATTCTCTAAAGTACTTAATATATATTATTAATATATTTTTTTTTATTAATAAAATCTATAAATAAATTAAATATCTTATTTAATAAATTTTAAGTTAACTATAATTAAATAATCTTTAAATAAGTTTACTATATCTTATATTTTATATACTTATTATTAAATTTAAGTAGATCTTTATTAATTAAATTTAATAATCTAATATTTTTAAATATCTACTTAACTTAAAAATACTATTTCAAGAAATTTATATATTTCTTTAATAAAAATAATAATCCTGAAATCCTATCAAGCATTTATTTAAATAATTTATTTATTTATAATTTAAATATTATCACCTCCTCTTCTTCTAAAAAGAGATTTTTAAATAATATTTTATATCTAATTTCTTATATTATCCCGTCTGTTTAACGTGCTTGGCATAAATAAATAAATAAATTATATAATATATCTTTTTAATACATGTAAATAATCTAATTAAATTTATTAAACTTACTAAGACCGGTATTCTATAATAAAATATCTTATCTAATAATAAATAACTAGTTATAGCAAGTTCTGAATAACTTTACAGTGTAGAGACCAGGCTCATAACCTGTTAAAAAATACTCTACAAAAATAATAAAATAAATAAATAAACAAAAAACAGAAGCAAAAGAGTGAATTAAATTAAGCTATCTAGAAGAGCAAAACAAAGCAACACGTAGAGATGCTTTATGTGGGAGGTCTGAGCGCAGCACGTGACTAGCCTACATGGATGCCTCAACAGAAAATGCCAATCCGCTCCCGATCCACGAAGCTCTGTGTGCCGAGATAATCGACCGCGGCACTATATGCTTCCGCATAGATATCCGGAGTGACCCCGTTGCGTGGCTCACCGCCGCTCGCGCCCCAGAACGGAAGGTCCAACGAGACGGTGACAAAGCCCTGTTCGGCCAATTTGGTTTAGCAACTGTACCTGGCGATATTGCTCTTCGTTGAGAAGACACCGTCATGCCGAGGACATCATCCATAGTATTGTCCCGATTACCGTGGGTCCATAGCTGTGACTGGCTTATACGACTCCCACACAGGGAAGGATCTTCAAACGGTGGTCGTAAGTCATTTCCTGTTAAGGAATGTTTCTCGGCCGCATTGGAATTATATGGTCGTGAGATTGATGTTATCTCTTGACTAGATATCTATCCTCCTCCGAGTTCAGGGACTAGTGCTACCGGCCTCATTGCCTTCTTATAAATAGAGTTGTTAAGGTGTGCTGAGACTACCGGTGGGAGAAAAGAGAGACATGGAGTGTAGATACTGGATTGTTCTACTAGAACAGTGCCGTGGGTCGGCGAACAATACATTCATTGGTGCTTGGCGACCAGGAATATAATCCAGTTGCATTAGTGCCCGAAAGGGTCCCATCAAGTCGCCCAATGGCAGGAAACTCACTGGGGATAGCCCTCTTCAGCAACGTTAGTTCCGAAACTTTAACATCATGTATCTAAGCCGCCTGCATCTCTTCTCTGCAATTTCTTCCTTCGGACAATTTCTTCGATCTTCAACCCACTCTCCGATCAGTATCATGGCGTCTTCCGACAGGCTAGATCAGTCCATTTATTCTCCAACAATTGCCTCATCAGAGCTACATCAAGCGTCAGAACGAAGATTGGGCTGGAGTGACTAATCCAAAGGAGAGAAAACGGTTACAGAACCGATTGAACCAGAGGATTTGTAAGTGGTTTCCATGCGACTTAACCCCCCTTCATGGAACTAATCTGCGGGGAACACAGGGCGCCAGAGGAAACTGAAAAAAGGCGCCAAAGATGGGGCCACCGAAGGAGTCACAGATGCCGGGAAAAGAGGCATGAATGAACAACTCACCCCGACTACTGCACATCAACGACGTGCTATGCTTGAGCGGTTTGCTCTGGACGCACTGCACAATTATATGACCAACCAGCCTAATACGGATCAGCTCATGAGAGTAATCCAACTGAATACCATCAATGCATTGACATCAAACGCCACAGCCCTGAAACTACAAGTTGATTGGCTCGTGTGTCATGCTATCTCGCCCTTTGGATTCATAGGTCCGGCGAAGGCTGCAGATCTCGCTGCCTCCTCCACCGGCCCGACGTCGTTGATTCCGACAGACCTCCAACGGAGGATCCCGCATCACCCTTGGATTGATCTGTTCCCGCTGGCGAGGCTGCGAGATAGTTTATTGGTGGCTACATGTGTGTCAAATATGTTGACTGATGACGACGAAGAACAGCTGTGGGCCGATCTTGTGGAATGGGGTGGCAATGGTACGGAAGGGGCTGGCTTTATTATCTGGGGCGAACCATCGGATCCTCAGAATTGGGAGGCAACAGTGCCGTTTCTTAGAAGATGGGGGTGGCTTTTACAAGGCTGCAGCGAGATTCTCGAAGCGACGAATTACTGGCGACAGCTTAGAGGTGAGAGACGCCTTCACTTTTAAGCACGAGAGCCGATGGGAGGATTCACGACTGCAAGAAAACAAGCAACGTTATCACGATCTACATAGCAAGATACAGTAGTAAATATTAGGATACCGTGTGATGGATTAGCAAGAGATGCGTGTGGAGATCCCATTGTCATCATGCATAGTCTGCATTGAGTATACTTTCGTGTGCAACCTTGTTCTAGAACTCATAAATAAGGCCCTGCATACCCCCATCGTAGGATTCTCAGGCCAGTAGTGCATTTAGCTACTTGTGAGATGACTTGCCAAACCGACCAATGTCTTCCCATTTATCTCTAGGCTAAAGTTGATGGAGATCGAAGTTACGGACGGAAAAGTCAAGTTACATCTGCCTCGACCCGTTTCGTCCCACATCAATCAATGCACCGCTGATCATCTAAGCGGCTTGCAGTAGCGCTGTAGAAAGGGGACCTGTTTTGTGTCCTCACATGCATTACAACCGTACACCACCAGAGGCGCTCCCCGTTTCCACTTCTGTGTCCATAAGGAGTCGCTGACCTCGTGGGTTTGTTTGTTTAGTGTTGGAAGAAAAGCCGAGCTATACCAGTATCTAATAAAGAGATTCCTCTATTGGTCTATGTGGTATGTTGTCTCAATATTTAACTAGTGCCACAGCGATCTAAGCGCCTCGGGCTTATGTCTCCCGTGAGTCTACCAGCTGACCTTGGAGCTGAGAAACCATGGTGCTACCTGGCAACACATTTCTAGTCGTAACCTAACCCCAAATCAAGGGAAGAAATTTGGAACAACTGGTGATTGCAAAGATGACAAATATATGAATAGATATCCACGGCAAGAACTGATCTAAGGGGCGATGTTGAGCAGGGAATACTAGAAGAACACTAGGGCGTATCTATTCGCTTCAAACCGTGCCTTACTGTAATGCCGTAGGATACCTGAGCGTAAACCTTGGCAAAGTACACTGCTAAACCCGCTCCCTGCACAGAATCGAGTCCAAGACATGCATGAGCTTGCCGTGACAGTCAGAGACAACTTTCTGAGATCTCCAAGCAACAAATCTGTCCGGCCTGATGAGAACACAACCGCTTTCTTCGACCCCTCGGTTGTCATGCCAGTCCCGATGCACGTCACTGTAGTCAAGGCCGAAGCCGATACCATACACATTGATGGGAATTCCTGTTGACTTGGTGATATGTCTGGCTGCCTCTTTCCAACCATCTCCACCGATCCCCGTGAACAGGCAGAATGCGCCTTTTCCAGCGAGATCATGAGTTGAAATTTTCTTGCCACGGGTAGGGATATCCAACCAAGCGTGAGGGAGTCGACTGCCGGGATAAGTGGTGACCTGAACCTGCAGGATTGGATTGCCCTCCAATTTTGGCCTGCTGTGCTCCTCATCTGCGAGATAGACCGCCGTTGATTCGTACCACTGATTGTAAGCGGCACCCCAACTGTGAAGCTCAATCTCTATACGCTTCATGGCATTCTGGATCTTCTCGCGATACGCCGCCCCTTCATCACTAGCTTCCGACAGCTTGGCCAGCTGTTTTGCTCCTTCTTCCGGGGTGGCAGCAAACATTCCGACTAATTGCCAGACGTCCCTTTGCGCGTGAAGGCCGTTGTTAGCCTCCCGAACAAGCATAGCACCGACTGGTTGGCGCTCCTTGCTGTAGGAGTGCAAGAGCTGACGGCCGGCAAGCCCCTTGGACACGTAGGCGACCTTCCACGCGAGATTGTATGCATCCTGGACGCAAGTGTTACTCCCCAAGCCGAATGCCGGCGGATGGCGATGAGCGGCATCGCCCAGGAGGAAAACATTCGCGTCGTCAATGGAGTACGCCTCGGCGATACTTTCACGCACGGTCCAATGATCCATCTGCAGGATCTCAATATCCACAGAGTCATCGCCAATCAGCTCCCGTATACACTGGATGAGCTCGGGACTCTGAGGCGTCAAACCCGCAAACGGATCGCTACCATTGGGACCAAAGCCTACCAGCACCCATCGATTCCAGGGTCGGACCATCCGCAGATGCGCCACGAGGCCGAAGAATGAAGTACGATTGGGCTTCAAGATCCAGTGAAGGGCAGCGTGGCGGTCCTCGTGCATATGACGGGTCAGATCCGCTCGAATCAGAATATTGCAGGCCTTGCCACCGCTCGGTTTGCTGCTGTACTTGAAGTCCAACTGCCGTGCTACCTGGCTTCTGGCCCCATCTGCACCAAAGAGGTACTGCGTGCGGATCTGGAAGGTGGTGTGGGTGATGTTGTCCTGGATCGTGCAGATATATCCTGTCTGCGCCCCATCACGTCCTAATTCCTGCACGCCCACCAGCTCGGTGGAGAATCGGACGTCGAAATTGTGATGAGAAGCATACCGCACTAGGAGAGGCTCCAGTTCCGACTGAGAGAGCTCGGCATATTCACACGGGGTGATGCCGAATGCGTTTCCCTGTCAAAGGCTCAGTTTGGACCTATCGAAAGGGGACGGGAAAGGTAGGCCTACGATACAGGACGGATGCTCAGCCCATCCGAGGACCTTTCCATATTCTTCGCCAATCATACTTCTAGACCAGCGCATCGACTGAAAGGACCGACCACGGACTGACTGCTGAAGAGCTTCGTGCTCGATTCCCAGGTCGCGCAGACATTCTACAATACATCTAGTTAGACAGTAAGACGAGGGACCTCTTTCCTGAGCGACATACCGAAAGCGAACGGATTGAATGAATGAGCCCTGGGGGTGTCCGCGGTACCAGAGGCCTTGGAAATAACAAGCCCCTCGAGACCTATACACACCTGGATGAGTATCGCAGAGCTCTTCGATAACGTCCATGGAATACCTACCATGTTGTCCGAGGAAGCTTGCAAGACCGAGTCCCGCGGGTCCGGCACCCACGACAAGAAACTGGGTTTGCACGTCCGAACTCATGTCGATGTGTTTTTCAATGGATTTATGGCCTTGGAAGATAAGATAGTGGATTTGGTAACAGGTACAGTCTTGCTCAAGATGACCAGCTAGCTTACAGATACGAGGTGCTCAGTGGCCTTTTATAATTCTTGAAGCGGCAACCTCTTGTCATCAGGGAGTATTCAGCACTCACTCATCTCATCTACTGCATTCATCCTATCAGACATTTGATACTAGCCAAGATACTCACCGTTCGGTGTTAAGACCTACTCATTCTAGACTGGTGGGTCAATTGACGGCGTAACTACCTGGTAACGAAGCATTTCATTCGCCTCACCGTCGCGGCGACGTAGATTGATCATGAAAGGCCGATATTGCCGGTAGTGCTACCCCGGAAGTGCGTTGACATGGTCCAGAACAGCAGATTGAATAAGCATCAGGCTATCGGAAAGGTGTGATCGACACGGTCCGCTATCATCAACGGTGTCTTCATTGGTAGGGTTTTACACATATGGCAAAAGGTCCGTACTTAGGTAGATCCATCTATAAGCGGAGAAGGGTTTTGGAGCGCCGAAATGGACATTCGGACCATACGGCTTTTACCGACACCGAGGATGATGACTCCTCGTCTGATTACCTATTTGGGCAGTTTACTCGGCCGGGAGTGGATTAGGTTTTGATTATTGGTGCCGCGCCCTGATCCAAGCGGGATCCTGAGACAGGAGTATCTGTTGTATACACTCCTGTTACACTCCTACACGCAAGTTGTCAGAATACAAAGAAGAGACTAGTGTGGAGTCGCTATTTAATTTAGTCATGGCGGATAAGCGCTGCCGTGCTCGTCAGATCTATAAATTACCCATAGACTGCTCTGCTTTTCTCCACTGCATAATTGCACCCACTACTTTCCAGAACACCAATGTCCATCATCGACCGTGTAGTCCTTGTTGCCGGTGCCTCCAAGGGCATCGGCAGAGCGATTGCCCTGCAGGCCGGCAAAGAAGGTGCACATGTGATTGTCAACTACCACACCGATGCGCAGGGTGCCGACAAGGTGGTTGCGGAAATTGGGGCTAATCGCGCGCTGGCCATCCAAGCGGACATCTCCAAATCGGCCGATATTGAGCGACTGATCAAGGTATCCGTTGCACGCTTTGGCAAGATTGATGTGGTCATTCCAAACGCGGCCTACGTGCCCTTGGCCGACGTGGAGACGGCCACCGAAGAACAATTTGATATGGCATTTGGCGTTAATGTCAAAGGACCGTGGCTTCTTGTGCAGGTATGCTTCGATTCTTGCTTTCAACCCCTCCCCCATCTCCCCTTCTTTGCAAGTCCACAGCCTCTTGCGGTGTGCTACGGCTAATGTTTGAAATAACAGAAATCCCTTCCCTACCTGAGCAGCGGCAGCACGGTGATCTTCATCTCCTCGGACTTGACCGACTTCAGTACGCTGCCGCCACCGCTGTTCCTCTATATCTCGACCAAAGGAGCCCTGAATCTGATGGTCCGGTCAATGGCCCAGACGCTAGCAAGCCGGGGCATCCGTATCAACGCTGTGTCGCCGGGTACTACCGAAACCGACTCTTTTTTCAAGTCCAACTCTGACGACAGCACCCGGATGTTGGCGCAGCTCAACCCATTCAAGCGGCTTGGGAGGCCGGACGAGGTGGCCGCCGCTGTGAGCTTGTTGTGGCGTCCAGAGAGTTCCTGGATTTCCGGTCAAGTGGTCAAAGCCAATGGGGCGACCTGCTGATGTCTACGTCGCTTGTGGGGGCTGTGATTATGTTTGGCTCTAGCAGCCATGGCGTCGTAAGTGCAGGGATGCCGATGGATTGTTCTATCCAAGGGGAAGCTAGATTTGGCGCCGTGGATTTGCCTTTAGACTCTCAGATAGATAGACGTCTCAAGAATAGAACAAGACTCTTTGAAATCCCGTATTCATCCGAGGATACATTGTGCCTGACTTCGTCTTGTATTACAGAGTAGTAATTTACCTTGGTGGTAATCCTTTCATGTCCTCTTAAAAGTTCCTAATATATAGCGACGGACGGATTGGAAACCCCCAAAGTATGCACATGTTTGTTCTACTTATATCACTAACTCCTCCCACAGGAAAGACGCGAAAAGCGGGTCGTAATCGGCCAAGCTGGCGTCAGATTCCAATACCTCACCATTCACAGGCCATCCATTGGCCGCCCACGCTTTTGACCTGAGCGTTTCAAGCTGCGTCCAAACAGGATGGTGGCCCTTCGAAAAGGTCGAAAAGCAGATATTCACCACATCACGAAGACTGCTTGATTCTGGAGAGTGACAATGTTGGATCAGGTCCTGCAGGATAATGGCGCAGGCGTGAATCACGTCGAAATGGTCTAACACCCATCGGTAGGGTGCCAGTGATTCGTCGCTGACTCCAGCTACAAAGCCACGAATATAATGCTGACAAGATATCAAAGCCTTTGCTCTGGATTCTTGAGGCCACTGTGACGTGCGTAGATAGGGCTGATGTAGAATAAACATCATCTTGCAGCAGCACATCATTCGACTCATGGCAATGAACCTTTGTAGGGCATCCACGGGGACATGGTCTTTTTCACATTCTTCAGCATAAATCTTTTCCGCCTCATCACCCAACTGGTTGATATCGCGAAGAGTGGGCTGGCTCACGCCGTAAACACGGTGCATAATCTTTGAGATAAATGTGGTGGTCAGTGATATGGTACCAAGAAGCTTGCGCTCTGAGCTATTCCCGCAGTCAACGGATCGGACGTCCGTGGTTTCAGGATGGATCAGTGGGGGAAGGCCATGCGAGATAGCATAGGTGATGTCCAAGCCGCGGATCGACCACCAGATCACGCGACTGGCCTCCGCATCTGGAGCAGAGAGCTGGAAGAACAGCGGTTCCCGGTGAAGACCGAGAGACTGGGCAGCTCTTACGAGGATAGAAACCGAGCTGGGATTGGGATGAGTGTGTCCTTCCGCCATGCTGGGAATGGCAAGAAAGAAAGCTACTCGAACGGTATTCAAATTGGGTCGACTCGGGTAACCGGATTCGGCCAAGAGTTGAGTAGTGACTTCTTTCCAAAACGAGAAGCGAGACGAGAACCACACATTGGGGTCCTTTGGTGCCGTGATGGATCGGGTCGCAGTGTAGCATATAGCTGCAATGAGCGCGAGCGCACCAGGCTTCGAGCTTCCCTGGTTTCGCTGCTCGTGCACTTGAGCAACAACTTCGTGGCAGTCTACAAGTGGAAACCAGAAGTGGCAATACTGCGCATACCATGCAATGAGCTGGTCCACCTCGGTCAGATAGATGAAGTCGTTCGATGTTTGAGGTGCTGATCTCGGTGAAAGACCATGCCGATCGCAGGGAGAGACAGTGGACTTCTCCACCCCAGCCACCCATGATGAGCTCGAGTAATACCGTAATCGACCGTCATCCGATGCTTTGAGATGACCGACTTGGTTGAATGGGATCGGTTGCTGCTCCTCTGGCCCTCCGCTCGATTGTTGGTTCGCAGAACGCGACGAAATACGCTCATCTGTCGTCACATTCCCCACAGCTCTCACCACAGCCTTCGGTCGGTAGACGCAGGACCGACCATTCATGCTGCAACATCGACAATGGGGCTTCGCTCGATCGCATTTGATCTTCCTAGACCGGCATTGCTCGCAAGCCTGCACGTTGCGCTTCCGCGCTAACCTTGGGCGGTTCAGGTGAAGACGCAGAAAGGGTGATACATTCGATGGGGACGCCCTCTGATCGAGGACCTTTCCAGTAGAGCCACAACGCTCGTTTCCAGAAGCCATGGCACATAAGCCCGCTGTAAGAAGCCGAAGGTATAATACAAGTGGTCATCCATGTAAATGAATGATGTGGAGGAACTGACTCAACTTTTGCTGCTTGAAGTAGATTGCGGGTTACTGGTTCCCACCAGCATTCCGGTCTAGCTGCTTTTGGGAATTCTTACGGCCGAAAGGCTATTTCTGAACCCTGGGCACACGTCAGTCATGCTATGAAGTGTTCTCCATGTGGTCGCAGAACGGATAGACAGTAAAATTCTCTTTCAGAGGAGAGAATCACCGACTTGCTTGCTGCTTATGTTATCCCCGGATAGCTGTGATGGCTAGATGGCTATTCTAGGAGATATCGGCTACTATTATCTCGTTGACTATGTCTAGTGCAACAATAATACCTCACTTTTTCTGGTAGCTGCAGAGAGTATGTCGATCAGTCAATTGACTTGCGTAACCGGAAAGTTCCGGCTCTATGTATCATACTACTTGGTTGACAGGCTTCCGATATGCGATGACAAGACATGTCATTGTAAAGGCAGGAACCAGATCCATGCTTGAATCGTGTAGCCTGACCCCGCAACACGAAAAGGTGAGCCTATAGAGGTGGTAGGCGAGTATTTTAGGCTACAACTCAACTTCTTGTATTCAAGAGACTGGGCCCGGTCCAAACGCGTTGAAGTAGCCCAACTCGTGCCCGAGAACCACCTTTGCCTTCTTCCGTGCGACCAGGTTTCGAATATACTCCCGACTACGATGCCACGCATTAAAGTCCCTCGTCAAAGTCCCCGGAGGTAATCCCTGCTCGTAATTCTCCCAGACATGGAACATGTCGCCTGTCAGAACTACGGTGCCGGTCTGTTCAAGGCTAAGCTCCATTGCAACCGAGCCAGCAGTATGTCCTGCACAGTGATGCATAGTAATCCCTTGGAAGAGCTCGAAGGTCTGTCCGGAGAATGTCTTCCAATTCAGCCGTGTCACATCAAGATAGTCGCTCAGGTATGTGCCACGCTCGATCCCGGTAGCGAAGGTCCAGACTGCATTCTTGAACTCTTCCTCGTGGCACCAAATGGGTATGTCTACGTAGTAGGTTCTCAATTAGAACAGGCACTACCTCATCCAGCCACCTCAACGCAGAGCTTACCTGTACCAAAAAAGTGCTCCAGCCCCCCTGCATGATCACAGTGAAGATGGCTCAAGACAACTGCTTTGACATCGCTAATCTGCCCAGCGCCGGTAGCTTTGATCGCCTCGGGTAGACCATGAACCGATTTATTCCAGATTCTGGGGGCACACTCCATTGCTTTTGTGCCCCAACTCCCGATTACATCCTCGCAAGATCCAGTGTCGAAAAGAATTAGACCGATCTCGGGATGGAATATCAAGGCGGCAATCATGACCAAGTCGCGTCGCTCGTGCGGCTGCGGTGGTAGATGGGCTGGGAATTGATTTGCCCCCATCAGCACGTTCGCTGCGTCCACGTCCCAAATTCCCAGGTTCAATAGCTATCATGAACAAATGACGGTTACTTCTTGTTATACGGCCGGTATTGTACACATAGATTATGTCTGGGGTGCACTTACCCATAATTTGGCGCCTGTTGGTAAGAGCGACATTGCGGCGATTTTCGCAAAGATGGCTGCGTGGATGTTCCCCTAATATGGGAGGGTAAGTTGTGCATACTTGTAGATGACATACTAAGGTTACAATGGCGAGTGAAGCCACTGGTAATGTAGGGTGTCAGTCACTTGGGAAGAGCCGAACCAGATCCATTTGTGGACCCCAAATTATAATCCACCTGCATTAGCGCCAACGGAAAGGGGAGTGCGGGGAACGGTGTAAACGAGACCATTGGGTGCCAGTGGTGCATTGCCCATGGTTATCGGGATGATTCCAATGTTGCGCGCGAATGAGGAGAGCGGTGCGGAGGGTACTGCTCCAGCTGTGCCTCTAGGCCGATTGGGAGAGGCATCGGAAGTTGCCAATATCGTCGCGTTCCTACTAAGTGACGACGCTCGATATGTGACCGGAGCGACTTGGGCGGTAGATGGAGGGGCAAATGCTTGAAGTTTGTTATGTTACTGATTATGACCCCTGACAGCTTGTTGTCCATTATGCTCATACCAAGAAGCTCCAGAGTACTCCAGGGGTGAACTTGCGTTTGCAGCATGGACCTAGTCAGTATTGTCGTCAGCTTGGCTCAATATAAACAGTTTGAGATCACCATCCGCCAGAGTGAGTTGCACCATGTGGTGGCAACCAGTCACGAAGTGATTTTTTTTTTCTTATCTTAGAGAACCGATAGACGTCAATTAAAGGCGAGTCAGTGAATCGAAACACATAGGGAACTATCTACATAAATAGTGTCGCTTAAAGCTCCGCTGAGAGACGGCGGATATACTGGCATTGATTAGGAACCAGTACCACGACCAGTACGATTCTCCTATCAACCAAGAGATCTGGAATGCCATCTTCCGCCAGGCCTTGAAGTTCGAGATTGGTCAGTCCGAAAGTACAAACGGATGAAGCTGGCTGACTGCATTTCGACTGACTAAATAGTAGTCTCTGGAAATCTGTGTATGTGTGCAGACATGTGCGGCACGGAGTATATTGTATGGATTTCTCATTCAGGATTATCTATATTCGACTGTACGAGGAAGTTATTGTACAGCTTGAACCATTGGGTTAGTCATTTGCCGCTTTTGGTGTCGCTCTTTACTTTGGCCATTCTGTCATTGATCGATCATGACAAGTAGTAAGCTAGCAAGCTATAACTGACGCTCATTCATTCTTTTAGACTACGGGATCTGCCGTAGTAACTATTTCAATTATCTTCAACTTGAACCAGATAACAAGATACAGTTGTGAGACTCAGAGAAATATTTCCGCGGTATTCCTTCAGGTAGGGATATAATGTTTATGATTAATGCTCACGGGTAAATCATTCAACATAAGTATGCGCAGTACAAGATACCGTTAGGAAATGAGGAGAATTATGCAATCCCCGAGATGACCACATTAGAATCATTCGACTGTGATCTTTACTTGGTGTTTCATGAGAAACCATTGGCATACATACATTGACCATGCTAACCACATAGAAGCCATGAGTCATCGAAACAAGGTTCATGTCACAAAATAGACGTACGCAGAGGGTGCAAGAATGGCAGATGCCAGTATATGAGTAGTATTAATAGCGTCTCTACAGACGTCTTTTAACAGGATGAACTATGAATGAGATACTTGAAGACATAATAAGTGCTGTACAAAGTCCTGATTTCCCTTAAATTAGGACTAGCCGGAATTTACGAAGCGCATCAACCGGATATATCCCGTCCCATAGATAAAGTTTAAAAAAAAAAAAAAAAGCAATGTTGGGCTTGCTCCAACTTTACACGACCAAGATAATGAAGAAGAAAGTTAAATAGCGTATCCGTTCCACAAAGGTACTGGTTTGAACGTTACTCTGATACTCAAGTGTCGCTTCCCTATCATCTGAAAATAGCAGAGAAGATCTGCCTCTTGTGACTTGCTGCTATTTGAGAACTGTCAACTACCGCCAACATGAATACATTCGATAGGCTCCCATACGACGTCTCTCTCATCATCACATACGCAGCGGAGTGGGTTTCCCTCGAAAGCCTCATGGAAGTCTCCCAGCGGGTGGGTTGGCTCTTTGACGGTGGCCCCGACGTGGAAGCAGATCGAGAAGCCATTCGTCTGGTCGAATGCATTCTTGAAGATAACCCTATGATGAACCACAAGCTGCATCACAAATTCCGCATTTGCATGCATCTGCGTCAACCTTCATATGACAAGAACTTCAAAAAGTTCAAGAGATGGGACTATAAAAAGTCGTCCTTGACTTCAACTTCGTCAATATCCCGAGGTTCCTTGCGGGACACCGTGATCGTCGCGGCCAACATTCAGCGGCTCGCGTGCGCTTGTTTAACGACTTACTTGAACCGGACCCGAGAGTTGCAGCCACGGTTCTTGGAGAAATTCGGAGCTGTGATACGTGACGCAGGCCCTGCTTCGTGGGTTGAGGAGTATCGAGTCTATGAATCGCTATGGCATTACCAGTTAGCCTGTGACCTAGTTGATGCTACCTCCAGATTGGAATGGTCTACAAAAGACATCAATCACTTGCGGCAGTGGCTGTCGGAGTCGGTGTCGAGGATCCTGTATGAAGATGGATACATACTTGACTCCGTAGTTGATTGCCTGGAAGACATGTGCCACGTTCCTTTACTCGATATACCGACCTCACTATCTCTTCTGGAATGGAAAACATACAGGTCTTACTTTCTTGATCGCCTCCCGCAAGCGTCTCAATTGCGCTGCGAATATGCAGTCTGGGCTCCTCCCGTTCCTCCTGTCATTGCTGAAGATGATCGTGGCCCAATCAATCCTTGGGGCCGGGACCCGAGAAGCTATCGGACAACGAATGTACCTACCACCTGGGCAGCCCGTAAATATGGCCTGTCACTATGGGACCGCTGGCGGTTATATTGCCTTGGGCTTTAGGACGCAGAAGATCCTCTTAGACCTGAAAGTGAGATCATCACCGCTCCTGACGGATCAAGTGTCACGAGGGGGTACTTGGTTGGTTACGAGACACATTATTTACTTGTGGGGGAAGTGGGAGCGAGTTTATCAGACATGGAAAATATTAATTGTCGATGAAGAGGAAGGTTATATTGACAATGTTTTTCCCGCGTCAGACATATCATGATTTACAGGGTATCTCAACGGCTACTGAGAACATACGGTTATCATCTGTAGTGAGGCATATATTAGTGGCTGAGTATTTAGTAGCTGTAGCTAAATCTATACATTTGTTGGAGAGGTTGAACCTTGTCTCCTGAAATCTACGATTGTCTGAGAAAAACTGGAACTATACTGCTCAAACTGTCATCCATTCATACTCCACTCTCTTCTACCACATATAAGTAATCAATAGCTCAAATTACCCATAAAGAAACTCCTGAAATTGCATCTAGATGCATGAAGTAGGTACGTCTCTGAACAGACCCTTCGCCAACTTGACCCGCAGTAGCGCGAGGCTGGCAAGCCAAGTCCCAACTGTAGACACAAATGATCAGAACCCCACAAAAACTATGCAATGTGCAGCTAGCATAGACACCTGTAATCATGCTTAACAATTCCCAGATAATGAGCCAATGTAGTCAGCTTCGGGGTCATTGAATGCCCCACAACCCTCATGATTGTGCGTCCGGCCTCGAAGATACTGCATTAGCTATCGTAGTGGAGACATCCTAAAGATAGCATGTACGTATGCATTCGTGGTATAATGTATCTTGGCTTTCCTTCTATTCCATGATATATGACACGCTAAGTAATTTTTGCGATATCAAGCCGATGGATACCATCATAAAGGATGGGTGATATGGCGAGAATTGATCTTTCTTTCCCTAGTACGACAGCATCATCTAGTACCTATGAAGATAAATTTAGTCCATTATAACTGATTTTTTTTCTCTTTTTCTTTTTTTTTTTCTTCTACTGGTTCGGCAGAAAACGGTACCGTGACTTGTGAGATTCAACGGCCTGGATGATTTTAGAGAAGGACATGAGACAGGCAATGGATATCTACAAATAGGCCTTGCCCAAGTCATTTCCTATGTCTTCTCGTCGGTGAAACGGAGTCATTTTTCCCACCTTCATTTGCCCTCTCCCACCCGGAGGCGCTGGCCCCGACTAGCTCTTCACTCTCTTCCAGAGACGCACGTACATCTCATGCTGGTAGGCAAACCAAAAGCTCTCAATCCGCCACGGGCGGGTGGTGTCCACCAGTTCGATGTCGAAGGTATGCAACATCAGGGCATTAGGATGCGTTGACTAGCAGGCTGAGATTACCGGAATCGGTACTCCGCCATGTAGATTGGTCGTTGCCAGTTGCGTAGCTACGGCATATCAATAATTGACTATACACTACGTGCATTTCAAACTCTAATCTTGCGGAAGAAAATATGCTCTATTTTGACTCGACCGGTAAGATTGTGTACCATGTTCAACACTGCAGGGCTTTGTCTGGTATACGGACAGAACAATCGCCGGCAGAATGTCGCTTCCAGTGTCCGAGCTAGACATACATACCCATGCCATTCCCGCGTACTGTTTTGCCCCTCAAAAGGTACCCCGAACCTCACCTGCGGTGTCTCAGGGTGTCTCGGGGCGCACCACAGCCAAAGGGTGTATACGAAGTTCAAAAGCTTCACTTTCTGGGGTCTCAAAATAGAGATGATTGTAAGGTTGACTGCTAGTCTATCTCGAATCTTTATCACCTCAGGTCCTCAAAACCTTTTAGTTACATATGAATTTGCATCATGGTGGGTAGATAATGGTGTAGGCGGTCGCGGGCTGCTGCGCGAACATAGCCCTCCTTAGAATCATTACTATATGCTGAAACCCGACATTTCGACAGGATATTACTAACAGTTCCATTGTTTTTCTTTTATATCATTCTTTCTCTTTCCATCTTAGAAGAATAAAAAAAATTTAATTACGCTCCCCTGGTTACACCATCTTTTTGTTCTTGTTCTTGCTGCCCAGTTCCAGCCCCCACATAGCCATAACATAGTATGTGGGGTGCTGAAGCTTCCTTTTTGTGGCGCCGCTCGAGCGAACAAAGCATGGCCTCAGCGGTGTTGAGACGCGTGTGAGCAATATCTAAAAAGCGCAATGCTTGAACTTCCGTCAGGACATGGCACATCGCGGTAGAGGCCGGATCCTCTCTTGATTTTTGTCCCCTTGCCTTCCGCCACCTACTTTTCCATATATCTTTAACCCCATACGGTGTTATCTTGCCTCTATCGTTTGACACCCAGCCCACAATTGAGCTCGCGTTGACCTTATCATGGGCGACGATTGTGCGATGACGACGATGAGGAGGAGACAGCATGTCTGCAACATCTGCAAGAAACGGTTCCTTCGCCGCGAGCATTGCGTGCGCCATCGACGCGGTCGTCAGTACTCCACACGCCCGTTATTCCCTAGTGAATTCCTCCAGTGCCCCGCTGAACACTTTTTCTTTTATCCAGATACCCGCGAACAGCCGTTCCAATGCCGATACTGCGTGAGAAAGTACAGTCGCACGTGAGCTCCTTCGACCCAATCACCCTTCCCCCGGCTCACTTTCCCTTGACAACTGGGAATAGAGGAATTGGTCTGTTTAGGACAAAACTGAAGGGACGGGGTTGAACTAGAGACGTCCTTATACGGCACGAAAAGACGGCCCATGGGGACAAATACCGCGCCCGACCTTCCATTTGGGAGGTCAGCGCCGCAGCATCGCCCACAAGTAACCCCGTAGCACATCAATTCGAGCCCACGGCCCCCGATAGCCCCGACGTGACCCACTGGCGCAGATCCACGGACCCCATCCAGCACGCGCTCACCGTCCAGGATTTCACCACCCTCCATGCCGAGGCACTTTCGGCGAGCTATCTTATTCCGCTCTCTTCGATACAGACGCAGACTCCATTACCGGCCTGTGGACAGGAGATACTGCCGTATGCGACGCCCGCAACCACCGAGTCCACTGCGTGGTCGTCGCCCCGGGTGGAAGATGCGGATTGGCTTGGGATGGAGGTCGAGGTGCGCAAGTTTCACGACCTGGGCTGGAAGGAGAGTCCGAGCCTGATGCCCTGCGTTGGGCTTAACACGAGACTCGAGGGTGATGAAATGGCGGAGCCCGAGGCGGAGGACGGCCGTGACGATAGCAACGAGCTGTTGGGCTCGTTGGGTCCCATGTTCGACCCGCTCTGGCACCCCTTTATCACCCGCCGGGCAGCGGTCACGGGATATATGCTTGATCGACATCATGATGTTCTGCATCGCGCAGGCCTTTTGAATTCATGACGCTTGAGCGGGTTGCGACTGGTGGGAAATGCGAGGCGCAATGTAGTTATATTTGCATAAGATCCAAGATATTGACGGTTCGCCATTGAATTGAGGGAGATTCCATATTTCAATCCTTTCTCCTGCCAATATGTGGTAAACTTCCCGTAAAAATGCCTCGGATACGACCAAAGAATGGCTCTTGGGGCTACATATCACGGGCACGTATGTGATGTAAAGCCATACTCCAGAGTGCTCCCGACAAAAGCCCACAGCGCTTGGCCACTCGTAGCAGCCCCCAATACCACCAAACGGAGGAGAACGCCTTCGCCTCTCTCCTTCCCCAAGATCCTAACTGTGTGCAATCTCGGGACCGTTTTCCCCTCGTCTCTGTGGAGGTGGGGTGCCGGTGACGGGAGCTTAACCCCACCCGCCGGAGCATCAAAAGGGTGACTTATATCCAGTAACATGATCCCAGATCCTGCACAACAGGCAATACAGGCAGTCAATCCAACAAAAAAAAAGATTCATCTATCAACTGTTGAAAGATGACTGCAGACACCACAGAGAACATCGAGTTTATTGGTGACATCCCTTCCTAACCCCGCCTGCATCAGATTGCTTAGGGTTGCCCGTCGTCGTGGCCGCTGCTAACCGCGGTGAGTCTTCAGGCCTGGGTGCCATGGGATACGCCATGGCCCAGAATGTGCGCAAGAGTATGCCGTCAACAGGGCGTCTGTACATCTTTGGCGTCTTTCGCAGCGCATGTGAGCGATTCCAGACCGAGATGGAGGGGACCAGCGCGGTGGTGGTGGTTGACTCTGCTCGAGAAGCCGTGGAGCAGGCGCCGACGGTCATCTCCATCGTTCCTAACGCCGCCGACGTTCGACAGGTTTACCTCGACGAGGAAAACGGGGTGATTGCGGCCAGATAGATCCCCGAGCGTTTGATTTTGGAGTGTAGTACTATTTATGCTCGAGCCATCCGCGTATTGTAAAAGCAGTCTAGCCGAATTTATTATGATTGCTTCGCAGGGTATAGTGCGGGGGACCGACGTTCGGAGATCCACCACATCACCTCCCTAAAACAACCCCCATATAATAAGTTCTGCAGAACCTCGTATGAATTGACGACTGGATACTTGAGCCACCATCTCACTATTTTCCATCTTCCCTTTTATTTCCTTGATGTATGATTCTACACATATCACAACAACGAAAACAACCACACCGCAGGAGCAGTATGTCCGACTTCGACCGGGAACTCCCCGAGACAGCCGCTTTCGTTGACGTGAAGCTCCTAAACGGCGGAAGTATGACAGCACATTATCACAAGCTCCATGCAGGGGAGCCAGCTGTGGAGTTCAGAATGTACAACTGGGCTTTCTACATTTACCATCCGGGCCAGCAGAGACATATCATCTGGGACCTCGGGTTCTCGTCGGTGCGTCGCTCGGAACATGGGGTGGGTATGAGAACTATCTACTCACTAATAGAGGCACATCCAGAACCCTGACGACTATCCGCCCGCAGTCGCAGAGGGCCCCTTCGTCGAGGCTCAGTTCCAGGCGCCCAGCGAGTCAATCTCAGATCAAATTCAACGTCGTAGCGGAGTGTCACCGGATCAGATTGATACCATCATTTTCAGGTGCGGAGGTAGTTCCATTGCGAAGCATCGGCGGCAGCCCTGGACTAACTGGCCCATCTTCTCACAGTCACGCTCACTTCGACCACTGCCGTCCCATCAGCCGCACGTTCCGCAACGCAATCGCCTGGTTCGGACCGGGGACGCGCGAGTTCTGCACGCCGGGACACTTGGCCGACCCGACCTCCTTCTGGGATGGCCGATTTTTCGACCCAGAGGACCGCGCGACTGAGAGGTGGCAAACCTTTCTGGGCCCTTGGATGCCCTTCGGACCTTTTCCCCATGCATTGGACTTCCTAGGCGATGGTAGCCTATGGATCATCCAGGCCCCGGGCCACATGCCTGGGAACCTGTGCGCATGCGCCCGGCTGGCGTCTGGAGACTGGATCCTGCTGGGGTCAGATTGCTGTCACTCACGGTATAACCCCTTTTCTTGCCTTCTACCAACAGCGAAGATGCGAGTGCATGGGGGGAAGAGGAGGTGCACGAGAGAAAAGACGAAAATGGAAAAATTGTGCTCACTGTTACGTTTGGAACTCTATATAGGGCTCTCCTGGACGGGGTCAAAGACTTCGCCCGCTTCCCGCTCCCCGGAGGCACCCAATTCTGCTTGCACACCGACCTCGACGCGGCGCGGGACACGGTAGCCCGTGTGCGGTATCTGGAGATGCACCGAGGGGTGCATGTTGCGCTGGCGCACGACACCTCCTTTATCGAGGATAGGCAGGACACGGTGCTATTGTCATTGCTTGACGAGGAGGGTCTGGACGGGTGGGGTGCTGCCATTGGCGAGCAGAGGCCTATCTAGTCCCCAATGTTCTTCGATTCTTGATGAAATGCCCCAAATGATGACTTGAGAGGAAGAAGAGTAAACCACTCGGGAATTGATGTGCAGAGGTGACGAAAGAAGAAACAAATAACAGGAATAAGCTCCCACACTCTACACCCTTTATGAAAATGCGGAGGGGGGGAGAGGGGGGCGATATATGTTTAGCGTCCCAGGTGAATGGAAACAACCCTACCCCACCATATTTTCCTTGGGGAGAAGCCTTGAAGCCGACAGATGAGGCCAGCTGGGGAAAGCCCACATTGCATGGGATACAGCCCTAATTCATTTAGGGATGCAAGTACCTCTATGCTGGTGAATCTCTAGTAGCGATACCACATTCGACCCAAGAGACTTATAATATCACCCAACACGAATTTATGTACATACACAATATACAGTAAAAATTCAACACTCAATCTACCACCATCCCCTGCGCATTCACCTTGACCGAACTCAGCATATAGCCCTCCTCCTCAGCATGCTGCCAGACCCTGCGGATCAACCCCACCACCTTGTCACTCCTCGGGACGAATCGCAACTCACTGGGCTTGGGAAGAGTGTTCATCCCCTCCTCGTACGCGGCGTCAGACACATCAACAGATCCGATCCTCCCGTCGTCGGTAAGCGGGGGGAGGATCTCAAAGGCCCATACCAGGCACGCTATGGTGATGAACAGGCTGTTCTCAGCCAAGTGCATGCCGGGGCAAATGCGGCGGCCTGCGCCAAAGTCGAAATGATCGCGGGCGTACGGGTCGGCGTGAGCGGTGTATGCCCCCGCCTTGAGGGGGTGCTGGAGATACCGGTCCGGCACAAAGTCGTCTGGGTTCTCGTAGCGCGCCGGATCGAAGTGTAGCGCGTATTGATTGATAGCAACGGTGGTGTTGGCGGGGATAAACCAATCTTTATACACAACGTCCGCCGAGGTGTAGTGGGGAGAGCCCAGGCTGTGAGTAGAGGGGACGAGTCAGTATGCGATAAACATCAGGGTGCTTGGGGTGATATACGTGGTGACCGGGCGGATTCGCAGAATTTCCTTCACACAAGCACGGATGTAGGGCAGCTCCGCCTCATCGCGAAAGCTAGGGAGGCGGTCCTCACCCACCACACGGCGGAGTTCCGCGAAGGCTTTCGCCTGGGCTTCCGGGTAAGCCGCCAAGTACTTGACACAGGAGTTGAGCGCGGAGGAGGTCGTCTCGGAACCTGCCTCAATCATTGCTGCAGAGAAACACCATTAGTCCACCCGTCGGCAAGGGGCCGAGAAATGCATGATTAGAACTTACTTCCGGCAACAAAGCTGGCTTGCAGCTCGCTGATACCCACTTTTTCATAGTCAGTGTTGATGAACTGCTTCACAAAACAATCCGGGGCTTGGTTCTTCTCCATCTGCGTCCGGAGACGGTTCTAGTATTTCATCCAGATGACCGCCTGTCGGTTGAAGGACCGGAGGGCGGCCTTTCTCCACCACTGCATCCACTGGGGGAGGTATGCCAGCACTTGGAAGGTCTCGGCTAAGTATTTTCCGGGCGTGGCAAATTCGCTGAACTCCTGCATTAACCCGTAAATCTCGCGGATGTCTTCGCATTCCTGAAGGAATGGTGCAGGAGTTAGCGCTGAACTCGACCGGAGGGAGAGAACCAAACGAAAAAAATTACCCATACTGGGACGCGGCGTCTGTAGGTCGATGTCATCACCACTGGATTTGAGAAAATTAACACCGGACGGCCGGGGAATGTGACGGCGCAACAGGGACTGCCCACGTACCCGAGGTCGTATACCGTCGAATATGCATGTAGAAATTTTTCTGATTGCCGTTGTCCGTCAGAATATCCCACAGCAGCTGCTTGGCCTCGAACTCCTGCGACGGAATGAATTCGTTGGATGCTTTCGGGGTCAGAAGTTTGTGCACGATAGCACGAAGCCGCCGCCACTCTGCCGAGTAGGGCATAAGGAGGAATCTGAAGACTCCCGTACACCCTGGTTAGTGGACTGCATGGCGTTTCTTGGACAAGATGCGTCTTTCTCCCCTTACTCACCTCATTCCGCCGGAGAGCAAATCAGATACCACGGGGCTCGGTGCGCGTGAGGAAGTGTGCTGGGACTGCTTGTCGAAAATCTCTTTCACCGCCGATGGACTATTTGCATAGATCCAAACCTGGCGCCCGAAGCGCACCTGGAACAGTTCGCCGTACTCGACGGCCCATTTGCGGAGTTGTTGTTGGGGATATGCCCCCATGGCAGTGACATTCCCAACAACAGGCACCTCCCGGAGCCCTTGGGGCAGTTTCCGTGCCCTTCCGACTCGCAGGACCAAGAACACTGTAGTGACAGCGAGAATCGCGACAGCAATAAGAGCCATTGGTGCCAGACGAGGGAATCGGACAGTTAATTGAGTGGTGTACAGGGGTGGCTTTTTGACGGCTGTGCGGCACTAGAACTTGTCAATCTGGCGGGGTAGGGCTATTTGAAATGCAGTGAAGGAGGCAGACGGAGGGATACTGGGGAAACCCAAGCTTTTTCACCCCACATGAATAGTCCACTCTTTTACCGCACCCGGGTGTTACTCAAAACACTACACCGACACTCACACCTTACAAATCCACCGAGGTCGAATGCCCCTCAAACGCGCGGAAAAGATAATTGGGGCCCCATCGTCTCAATACAACCGCGAAGCCCGCCGCTGTTCACGTGAACATGGAGACCGGGAGAGCACCCAGCTGCCTGCCACCCCCTCGGAGGGACCAGATCTACGTCGTCGTTCACTCCATTGACAGCGGTCAGATCACTCTGCCCGAACGTTACTTTCTCTCCCCCAGTGATCCCATCGCGCGAGAGGGGACCGAGTTAGAGGTCGTCATGGCGCACGACGTCCAGTGGTGGAAGAACCTGCGATATACATGCGGTGTCCCGCCCACTGCGATATACATGCTGAAATTCGACTTTGTATCTTGCTTACTTATCTTATAATTAGCAGAACCAATATGAGTACTTTAAAGGCAGAACTCTACTCTGAATGCCTCTCTAGGTTGCACTAATTGCCTTAAAGGCCCCAATCGGCCTGATTTAGGGTTGCTTGTCCAATGCACCCCATGCGGACCACAAACGTGTGAACTCAATACCCTTGATACCCACCCCAGTGCCGAAATTCACCTTTGGCAGGAATAGCTGCTCATGAGGGTTTACCGACAAGCCTGCTCTTGCCAAGGACATCTAGATTGTAGTATGCTAAGAGTATTCATCTATGCGGGGTGAATGCCAAGAGAAGGCTTCCCGAACGTATGTGGGGTGGATACCAAGAATACCTCACCCTCTCTATGTGCTGTGCGGGAAGTGCGAAAGTGACTCTTTCAGTACATGATTGTAGTAAGCGGAGTTGAATTATCGTAGTCACCGGCAACCGGCGAAAGAGCACCCTATCTGTCACATTCGAAGCTCTGTACAATACATACATCAGTCGGCTAGGGTCTCGGTCAATATTTATACCAGATGATGACTTTGAACAATGCAGAGAGATCCTAAGTAGTAATGTACACGTCGCTCCGCATCATATACTAGTGCAGAGTAGCAGGAGTAGTAGGGCTTTTAGGATATAGTATTGAAACAAGCAAGAATAATAAAAATATAAAAACATACAACAGAAGGGATTCGCTGGTGGTCACCCACCCAACTACTAACCTCCCGGCGTGTGGCTTAAGTACGGCTGAGCGGACGGGAAGCCCTGTTTTCCACACCCTGTGGTCGTATGTACCGGACTTTAACTCGGGCTTGAATGATATCGTGTTTTGGAGAGTTTATTACCTGACGCGTTGCCAATGATCACGGAGCCAGTCAAGTAGGTGGGTTTAGGAAGCCGAAAATAAGTCACTAAGACCGGAACGGTGTCCTAATTTATCGTTCTATAAGGTCTGATGGTTTGACGAGGTCTTCTGATTTAATTATGTTTTCTGGTTGAATGAGATCTTGAGGTTCTATGGTACTATTTCTAATATATAATATTTTCTGAGAAAGTTTGTTTAGGATATAAATAATATCTTTTAAATAACCTAATAAATAATTAAATAAGCTGAATAAAGTAGTAACAACTAGTCTGGGATACTCAGTGGCCACTAACATACACCTTCTGTTGTATGTATCTTTTTATCATTATCTTTCTGAGCAAATAGCAATTCGTGGGGTTTAGTTAGTGCCTGTGCCGCTGGGCCCTCATAATCCTTTATCAGTACCGCTTCAAATCCTCTCTCCGGACGTATAAAACCAGAGCCAAATCTGTCGTAAAACAAAAACTGAGAATCGTTGAAGGTTCTCCTTCTTCAGTAGGGATGAACTTCAATTTAGTACATGTCAAATTTGCCCCGATGGCATTATAATGCCTCCTATAGCTCAAAATTGGGTTCTATAGATCACTCATAAATACCACCATGCAACTATATCGGGGTTATATCGAGCAGCCATGTTCTGCAGAGTAATCTGTCTGGGCCTTGAATAATACGACGCCTAAATTAGTTAGTTTTATATACCAAGCGTACAGAGTAGTACGTCCACCTCCGAGCTGCTCTTTCCAAGAATGCCAGCCCCCGTCCGAAGTAAAAAGACACTCGCGGTTATGCCTCAATCTTGTCAGGGAAACGTCTGCGTCTCTCTTCTAGCAATATTCATATGCCTTGAGGAACAGCTGAATATATCTCCGTCGACTTCGTTGACGATTTCCTGCCTTGGCGGTGTCCGGTCGCCGGTGCTGGATGGTTCTTGTTGTGAGTCATCACGAGCTTTCTCGTAATCAGCAGATGTTTTAGGATTTGCTAGCATCAACTATATCAATCTAAGTTACCTATTAACTCAGGAGAATTTGTTGGGGCCAGAATGAGAGACAAAGGGGAATTATTATGTATCTGATTATACGAGTGCCCGATAAGAGGGACCGTGGTTCTGGCATTGGGATTACGATTTTATGTTGCGTTTAGATTTCGTTCTTTTTCTGAGTGTTCACAACGAATCATCTGTTCCCGTGAAACCAAAGACGCTATTGTCTCTTTGAAAATACAATTTTGTCAATCTGCCTCTCACCTTTGCCTCCCATATATTAGGTGATATATAAGTACATAAATATAATCTTTAACTGGTTACAAGCTAAGCTATCCTGTACAAATTCTCGAATCATAGCCACACGTATATATAATCTATATAAGTCAGCAGAATCATCGCGAAATAGCAGCTCTTCAGAATATAGAAGAGCACTCACTATTGTTAGTAACCGCAATATCCAAAAATCAAGTAGAGACTGTCTGTTTCAAGTATTTTGGGTTCGTCGAAATAAATAGTGCCGACACTATTCCCAGTGGAAGGGAAGGAAAATTGTAATCTCCGAAAAGGAAGGCGGTTGACTAGTCACAGTTACTAAAGATAGCATTACTCGGAGTTCACAGCAGGCCTGTAGAGTTGAGAGGCAATTTGCGTTCTCAAATCTAAGGCTGATTATCAAAGAGAGGTCCACTAATGACTAAGGAGGGTTAGTTGAAAGTCGTTGTGGTTAGACTATTGGCCAAGGTAGTGGACTATATCAACACTCATTCAATAGGTGATTCCTTAACCAACAAACTTGAGAATATCTGCTACATTCTAGCGATTGATGTTGCTTGGACCTCGCCGCCAGCTGGGATTTCTCGATATATGATGAAGCTGGAGATAGCATCGCGTGAGTCGGGGAACTCTGTGGCCGGGACTGTCGGGGGTTGGGGATCATCCACCACTCACCGTAATTGTTCAGCTTGTACCATTCCTTCGAGATCGAGTTGAGTTTGGTCTTACTCAAAAACGAAATTCTCGTCCTTGTCGTGGATGTACTGGACCTCAGTGCCCATGACGTCCCAGCCGCCTTCCAGGGTCTCGATGGCCTGCTTGGCCGGGTCGATAAGGTCGCTGAGTTCCTTGGCCTGACTCTTCATGGAGGTGACGTTGGCCTGACTCTTCATGGAGGTGACGTTGGCCTGGAGGGTCTTGTGCACTTGTTTACTGGCCTCTGCGTCCTTGATGAGTTTGTTCATCGCCTCGATCTCGAGCCAAGCCGGGAATACTCTTGCGGAACATGTTCTGTCATAGCAAATAACGTCGTATGTTTTTCTACCAGTCAGTAAGTCATTCAACGTTTAATGTCATTCAGAAGTGAGATGCGTAGGGCGAATAAAATAAGTAAGTAGATATACAGATAACCTAAGTAACCAGGTCTTTATAGTAATTCAGTAGGCATTCAATAGATTAACTATATCATATAATTTACTAGTATCATTATTGAAAGACTATATTTCCTGGTTATTTAAGTTTCCTGTCTGGGTAACAAATAGTAAACTGACATTGGCGTGGTCTGCATTTACTGATGTTCTTTACTGTTCACTATCCTGCAATGAAATTTTATTGAATATGACGTACTGCAATACTGAAGGGTAGAGACACCAGGGTTTGACACTGACCCCAGTCTCTCTGAGACCTAGGTTTATTCTAAGGCTCCTAGCGCGAAATTGCTAGGAACAATGAAGATGGAGCTACCCTGTGCTTCTAGGACCGGTATTTGGGAGACGGTTCAGGTTCCTATGATTGTTTGGCTAATATGTAGATTATTGTGTGAAGGTTAACTCCAGTTATATCCTATCTTATACTTCTCTGTTCTTTCTAATGATCTGTGTGTAGTTTTGAAGTATCATCCTAGGGCTGCTTCATATCACATAGCCCATTATCAATATCTTATTAGTTTTAATACCTTTTTGCTCATCTCCAGTTATGTACTAGCCTAGATAACCATCAATTCAAGCGATGCTTCAGCTTCCACTTTTTATCTAGTAGCTAGCGTTCCTACGCCTTAATACTTCATAAACATGGAATTCATGTGCGACTGGTGACAAGTACTATTGGAAGCAGCTGACGAGGATAACTGTCAATCCTCCGCTTACTGTCACCCTTGAATGATGATGATATTGAGTGCGGGGCAACTTTTCTACTAGTTTCTTAATACCAACTGCTTGTATTTTCGGTATAATGATCGCGATCAGGGTCTCTGAGGATACATAAGAGAATGTCACGAACCTGCCTTACGTAGCTATGTTGTCAAGGATTAGCTAAGAATCCAGCGAGGCGCCAGGTCGATACCGGCTCTTGTATTCATTGAACACCCTCACAACATCCTCAGTTAATTCCGACGGTGCAAAAATAGATGACCGCTTCATCTTTGTCAAGTCGAAATCAGTCTTCACTCGGCCGGTAGAAAGCAAAAGCTCAACTACCTCTACATGTCCCCTCTCAGCAGCGAGCATAAGCGGTGTCATACCATTCCCATCCTTCCCATCCGGGTCGACCCCCTTCGCCAGCAGCAAACGCACAATATGCGTCCGTCCTAGTTGTGCCGCACTCGCGAGTGCCGTAGTGCCGTATTTATTAGGCAAACTCGGATCAACCTTCTTGTGAGCAAGAAGAGCCTCCACCACATCCGTGTGCCCAGCCGCAACGGCCGTTAATAAAGCCCGGCTCCCGAAGTTCGGCTGATGGTCGGGCTCCACGGTAGGGATAGCAAGGAGCATTTTCACGATGCGCGCACGCCCGGTCCTCGCGGCGGCCAGAAGCGGGGTCTCTCCACTTTCGGATTGCGCGTCCGCGTCCACGCCTTCAACTGCCAGAAGGCGCTGGACGACCCCCAAATGCCCGTTCAGGGCTGCGGCCATCAGCGGCGTTTGCCCAAACTTAGCCTTTGCGTTTGCGTCTACCTTCCCCGTACCCAGCAGTTCCCCTACTATATTTTCTGCCCCCGCAGCTGCGGCAGCCATAAGGGGTGTTTCCCCGCGCTTGTTCCGGCAATCCGGCTGGATGTCCTTTGCCGATTGTAATAGTTTCACGATAGCAAGGTAATCGCCCGCCTTTGGATGCACAGCTTCCGTGATTGTTGTTGGCCTGGGCGAAATGCACGCCGTAGATGGAGAAGGCTGGCCGTACCCTGCCGCCCAGGCGAGTGGAGTCTCGAGATGCGCGTCGGGCGCATTTGGGTCTACCTTCTCCGCGCAGAGAAGAATTGCAGAGACCTCGGTATGACCGTTTCCGGCGGCCCACGAAAGAGGCGTTCTGTGCTGCGGATCATGGATGTTGGGGTTGGCGCCTTCTTGCAGCAGGCGGTTGCAGGGGTCTGGTTTGCCGTGTTGGGCGGCCCATATCAAGGCTGCGCTACCTTGATGGAAGATTTGGTGATGATAGAGAATGGGGTTAGCGATAGCGTACAGTATTTTAGATGTCTTGGCGAAAGAATTCACATCTTGCACCGATGGGAGAAGGAGGGTGGTGATGTAGAAGAGTAATTCGGCTGGGAGGGTTGGTAAAGACATGTTATCCAGAGGTGGGATAGGATGAGGACTAAGATCATGTAGGTACTTCAACGCAGGGAAAAGTTGTCTGGTTGTCTGCGGTGCCTGAAAAATGCCTCAAACATTAGGCACTCAACACCTAAGGTAGTATATACTTGTCGGACAAATTGGAGAGAGTGCCTCTTCATTTGTCAACAGGACACGCATGACATAGTCTGCCGCTAGATGAAGCCAACCTGAAGGCAAGGTGCATTGAATATAAGTGCCTATCTAATCTGTTATTCGTGCGAACTCGGTCTTAATTCAGGCAGCGCCCATTTCATTGTGATCGTATGTACTGGTTTCTACTCAGGCCTGAATCATACAGTTAGTTTCTTGGAGAGTTTACTACTTGACGCTTTGCTAATGATCGCGGAGCCAGTCAAGTAGGTGGGTATGGGAAGCCAAAGATAAGTATGATCAACCTTAGATATCAACGTTTCTCACGGCTTGAATCTCTATTCTCCTCTCCGGAAAATGCCTCAATCTGAATATATTTCATTGCTAGTCACACATCGAGATGCTTATTCTTTGTTCGCTGTAAATACTTACGGATAAATATTGTCATATATATGCACATGCAATATCAAGCCAAATACTATCAACAATAGAAGTGAATAAACCAAAAAACTAAAATCTATATGCATATGCAATCTCCCAACACAGAATCAAACTAGATCATGCATACGGAAAATAACAAAACAACAAAACCAGAACAAACAACAACATCATGCAATCTACATGACATCTATAAACAAATCTCATCTCCTCAACTCTAATATCATCGTCTATCCCAACATCCCCATAATCTTCTCAATCTCTCCCGCAATTTCATCAACAAGCTTATGCACCTCTTCAACACTCATAATACCTCCTTCAACTCGAACACCGAACCCGATTGAATCCGTCTTGGCATCTGGACCAACATCGATGAATATATTTCCTGACGGTAGGAAACCCGTATTCAGTGCCGATACGGCAGTGACTTCTTCAGCCAAAGGCTGTTCGGGAATGAAATCTGTAGGGACACCGATCCGCAACGGCGAGAAGAAGTCCTCTGAACCATCTGATGTGGTATTAGTGGTTTGCGTCCAGAGGAGGTTCACCCAGGTGTTGAAGAGGGGTTTCTCGGGTGAGATCCACTGGAGGATGTTGCGGAGGGAACTTTGTTCGTAGGAGACGCGTTCCGCGAGAGAGGCTTGGATGGCGCGAACTTGAGTGAGAAGGTCGGTGTCGATGGAGTTAGTGTTTGCGTTAGGGATGGTGAAGGGGTTGACATTCAGACAGGGTCCGGAGAGGTTCTCGATGTTGTTGAAGGAGGCAGAGCGACCGGCTTGGTAGAGACCCATTGTTGGGTTTTGGACGTCGGTGAGACGTGCGATGCAGCGCGCTATGGCGAAGAGAATGACGGTTTGTAGGCTGACATTGGAGGAACGGCATTTTGTCTCGAGCTGGGAGAGATCCTTGACCATTTCCCAGACTCCGATGAAGAGCTGGTCTGGGGTGGATTGAGTTTCGGTGTGAGTGTTGCGAATGATGGTAGGAGAGGCGTCACTGAGAGTAGTGTTCCAGTATTGCTTTTCATCAAGGTTCTGGAGAGAGCGCATTGAGAAATCGACGAATGCAGGGAATTCTGTGTTTGTTTCGGGACTTTGGCCATTATAGAGCTGTGCTAGCTCTTTAACGAACATCGGCATCGTCCATGCATCGTAAGCGGCGTGGTTTATGAGGACGAGGATGCAATCTCTGTCCCTAGCTTTCAGGAGACGGAGTCTGACGGGAGGTGTGTAAAGCGAGGATGGGTGGAGAGCCTCTTCTCTTGCTTGTGCTTGGGCTGCTTCGGAAGTTGGGCTAGAGGTCTCGATGACCTGGAACGTGCTTGCATCACGCACCGCCTGCTTGAGAACAATCTGCACTGCTTCCGATGAGGATGTAGCTGCAAAGCAGGTGCGGAGGATGGGATGTCTTTGACGGAGCTGGAACCAAGCTTCCTCAATCTTGGCACTGTCGATGCGCTCGGAGCAATCGTAAGCCCAGGCGGGTTCGAGCAGCTTCCGTCCGGACTTCAACCAGCTGACGAGGTGATAGAACTGGCCACCTAGACAAGGTAGAATTGCTTCGACGGAGTCCTTGCTGAGATTGAGCTGCTGTAGCACAGTTGCTTCCACCTCGGCATAGTTTTCAATGAGTGAACCCTGAGCTTGAATTGTCTTTTCGGAACTTGGCTGGAGACGTAGGCTGATACCACGGAGGGTGTTTCCCTGAAGGATGTCGGCTACCCCAATCTTCAACCCCTTCGATCGACAAATTGAAGCAATGCGGATAGCTGTGAGAGAGTCCAATCCAATATTGAAGATGCTAGTGTTTGGCTTAATATTGTCCACAGAAACTCCAGCGATCTCAGCGAGTACAGATTGGATGATGGCTTCATGGGGTGGTGCTTCGGGTGCTTCAATATTAGAGGCGAGCGACTGCTCAATGGCCAGCTTTGTCGGGAGTTCACCAAGGCCCTGTGGCACAATTGTAGCGCATCTGGTAGGATGCTCGATGATGTCACGGAACGCAATGGCAAATTCGTTCATGAGATGGTCAAGAGTTTCCTGGGAGATGTACCGGCCATTGCAAGTCGCTCGTGCTACAAGTCCATCGTGAGCATGGTCAACCTCAACGTTCAGCTTATATTCTGCCTGCGCCGCGTAGTCATCTGCTTCATAAGGCGTCCAAATCTGTTGTTCTTCTATGATACTGCCGGTGAAGTCCGCACTCTTTTGGAAGACGAATAGAGTATCGAACAGGACGGACGACGTACTGTTGTTAGCCTGCCTGAAGGAATTCTGTACAACTCTTAGTGGCGCGTTCTGATGGCTCTGCGAGTCGATTGTATGCTTTTGTAGACGCTGAGCCATGG